TTAGCCCTTGAGGTAGTCCAGATAAGAAACAGAACAACAAGCACCAGCTCTGTTCTTTATTGTAAGTTTAGATTAACAGAATCTTGAAAGTATTTCTTACCACCTTACTTTTTACTCTCTTGGAAACTAGGGAAGTTCCCTTTTGAAACATTTCCTACACTACTTCCTGCTCTGTATGCTAGGGCATCTTTTACATGATGGCTGTTCAGTCTGTGGTTCTTCTTCCACCATATCCAATGTAGTTTCCATGTATCATTGCAATTAGGGGATGATTTCACTGTATGATAATTATAAGCCACCTGCAAAATCTTTTAGAAATCTTAGGAGAAATTTCCTGACAGTTAGAACAATTAATCAATGGAACATCTTGCCTTCAGAAGTTGTAAATGCTCCATCATTGGAAGTTTTCAAGAATAGACTGCACAGCCATTTGTCTGACATGGTATAGGATCCCCTGCTTTAGCAACAGATTGGACTAGAGCAGCGGTCGCCAAGCAGTGGGCCACGGCTGGTGGGCCATGAGAAAATTTTGGTGGGCCACAGAAAAATCTCACCCCCAGAGCACCTTCCCAAAGCAATTAATCCAGACTGAGCAGAAATATAAGGTTGCGCTGCCCACATGGTCCGTGGGAACCCTTCCCACCCACTCACTCCTTACCCAGCAAACTTGCTTGCTAAATTGCTATTTTTCCTTTTTCTGACCAACAGGTGTTCTGCTGTGAATATTTAGATTAGATAGGAAGCAGGAAATGGTTGGATTTCTTGCTTTCTAGCTAGTCTTTAGAGCTTCAGCTCTGCTTTTAAGCACAGCCAAACCTTCCTTAGGACTGAAGCTTCTATTATTCAGTGCAGGCTCATGGCAAGCAAATTTGAGAGACTGAGCTAGTCGATGACAGATAGATAGATAGATCACTGAATGATTTTGTGAGCAACTCAATCTGCTTGCCTGCTTTGTCTGATTTTGGGTAAAAGTTTCTCTTTTTTATAAAAAAAATCAATATTTACATATATGATATGTTGTGAGTTAATTTTATGAGTTTGCTTGCAAGCAAATTTTATGTGACAGACTGAGCTAGCTGATGGCAGATAGATAGATTTCTGAATGAATCTGTGATTCTGTGAGCAACTCAATCTGCCTGCCTGCTTTGCCTGATTTTGGGTAAAAGTTGCTCTTTTTTATAAAAAATTCAATATTTATATAAATATTTATAATATTTACATACAAGTCATGCCCAGCCAGTCACATGACCACCAAGCCACACCCATAAATTAGGCCATGTTCACAGAACCAGTTAGTGGTCCCTGAGATTTAAAATTATGAGTTTGGTGGTCTCTGAGGTCCAAAAGGTTGGCGACCCCTGGACTAGAGGACATTCAATGTCCCGTCCAACTCTGTTATTCTTTCTATTCATTATTCCCCATAATAGCATAGTTCATATCTCCTTGAGTTCCATCCCAACTTCAGTTTAATGGACGGAACCATGTAGTTTTCTTTGCAACAATTTGAAAGTGATTTGCTATTACCTTTTTCCAGGATATTTTTTTGGACATTGTAGTCCACAGACCAGGAAGTTCCTGGCAGTCTTCATGTGCAGACTTCAATGAGCTGTTTGAGATCATCAAAAGTAGCAAAGTGAGCAAGAAGACAGGATTGAAATTTGTAAAAAAATAAAACTGTGTCTTAAAGGGAAACAGAAATTAAACTTACAAATAATCTCCAAATCTATATATGACATACTGCTGGGAAATGAAAGAAATTGTTGTCAGACAAATGTGAATGACATCTGGTCATGGAAAAATGCTAGGGAGATGACAGAAGGGACTCTCGGTGTAATACTGAAACATAATGGATGTAGAAGGGGTCGTCTCAGAAATGTTTCCTTGCAGCTTTCAAGTGTAGCATCAACTGCGATCTGGGATGGGGTGGAGTGTAGTTGCTGGCATTTGAGAGTCTTTGGTGGTCTTTAGGGGCACTGCCCTCACAAATGCTAGGATGTGAGACCATCCTTGTGAATTTGGTCCATTAGGAAAGTTGGGACTGCCATTTGCCTATCTTCCTGACTTCGTAGTGTAGCAGTATTTATACTTGGCTCCTTGACCCTGTTGCTCAGTTAGCATGTGAGTTGGCAAATAAATGCACAGCAGCATGAGCTGAGGAAGATGGATTTTGGGGTTCAGTAAAATCCATTAATGGCTAATAAAGTTGAAATGGATATGGCAATATTTGCACTGTCTATGTGAAGAGGAGGAAGGGAAGAGAAGGAGGAGGAGAAGGAGGAGGAAGAGGAGGAGGAGGAGGAGGAGGAACAACTACTCAGTAGGACAATAACAAACCAATGCAGAGTGAACAGAAGACAGAAGATTACAGATTTACTTGCCATGGGCAAGGTAGCAGACAGCAAGCTGCCACTGTTCTCTGCAAGTCCCTTCTTAATTCTAGAATTAAGAGCAAATAAGGCTAATAATTGAGTACTGCATACATGTTCAGCTAATTAATATTTTGGGGTTTTAAAAGCAACTGCCAAAATATTGATTCCCCACTCCCCAAATTGGTAACCATTTTAGTCAGTATGGAACAGTTAATATTCTTGGTGTCTACAAACTACATCAAGACAAACTGATGTTTCTGAACCATTGATGTACTTCTGTTGTACCTTAGAAGAGATGGAAATAATGTATAACTTCCATGAAAATCACTCTGGTGCCTGCTTTTATTTCATGTTAGGCAGGTTTGTGGCTATTAATAGTTAAGTCTTGTATTGAAAGAATATATAGTAATTCTGATTCCAAGAGGAGAAGTATCCACAAAAACACATTGATATTTTTAGGAGTTGTTGACAGATGCAGCCCAGACGTCATATGTACTGTGAATCACTTTTTCCTTTTCAAATCCACATTAATGTACTAGATTATTGTAACTCTAGATTCCATGTAATAGTTCATTCTGATGACAAGGTAGGCTGACTCTGAGTCTTCTATCAATGGTTATAGTTTTCCTTGATTCTGTTGTGGTTAAAAATATAAGTTAAGATTTCTGGGGGTGATATAAACAAAAAACAAAAAATCCAAATGTATATTCATTTTCTATCTGGTTGTGATAAATAAATATGAATTCTCTCCTAGAGGTTTAAATTTAACATTTGAGCAGGACACTGTATAGAATTGAAAATGAATACAAAATCCTGGAATGATAATACTGAACAAGTATTAGTAAGGGATAGTTCACATTAACTGCATGTGTGTATCTTTTTTTTTTATGTGTATCTTTTTATTTCAGAATTAAACATTTTCTATATGACAAAAAGCTTGATACAACGCAATTGATTGTAAGAGCATACTAAGGAGCTGAAGAGATACTATGTGCATATTAAGTCTATGGGGATATTAGTACACAAAGATGCCCAAAATGCATTGCTATAATTCAACCCACTGAGACCATAAACTGAAGAACAAAAGAGTATCTATACAGAGGCTCTGTAGGATAATGAATGTGTTCTGTATTTCCTCTGATTTATGTCTGCCATGGTATTTTGTTCTGTGATCCAAATTAGATGTATACATCTGTGTGAGTAAAGGTCAATGAAAACTCAACTGGTAAATAAGATTCTTACTTAGGTCACTGAGGAAGATGAATAATAGTGCAACATAATTATTGCTTTGTAGATTCTTGTATCCCATCTAGTGAACAGAACGATGGGCCAAATAATGACCTCATTACAAACAGATGGATCCTTCATAATTTCAAATAGCATATTATAAAGGTCATGATTTTGTATGAATTGTGAATCGTTCGGGGACCTAATTGATAAATGAAAAGGATGTGCTGGTCACAGAATGTTACAACACAGCATCTGTTTTAGCATATTAAGGAATATAGAACTTGAACTGGAGTTTAAATATTTTTAAAGTAAACCTATTAAAATCAGCAGCACTTAATCCAATCACCAATGATTAATTATATTTATTCTAATGCATCTTGATTTGGGCTATTTTGAGCCTATTCTCTTATGTGGTGTTGGTCAGACTAAGAATATGCGGTAAATAAAAAGGCTATATAGGTATCTACATTCAAGAGGATAATAATATTATAATCATATGGGTACCTACTGTTGATACCAAATGCATCGTTTCTCCAGTAAAAGATTCCTAGAAAAAGTGCTGCTGCTTGAAAGTGTTCTCAAAAAATGCTACATGGACATCTACAAATGACTCAAAATTATTGTCCTTGGAAATAAATCCATGCACAGAACAAGTAAATAGTAGTCACGTATTCTAATGCTTGATATCTTTGATTAGGTATAAAGCTCTTTTCAAAAATAATTATGTTTTTATAAAATATGAATTAATTATGTATAAATCCCTGAGAGAATCCTCTAGCAGAAAAAGCAACAAGAAATTTTACTTGTGGATATCATTTTACATTCCACAAAATATTCCACTATTTAAAAAACAACATTTATTTGGAGTCATTGGGAAATATCCAGCAATTAAAAGAACAAATAGATAGGGTTAGACAGACAGACAGACAGACAGATACACACACACTCACACACACACACAGAGGAATATTCACTTTTCACATTTTTCATTTCTCAAGGCTGTAATTTTTCCCTAAGATGCTTATAAATACCAAAATAGATATATGACTCTTTTGGTAGCAAAAGTGAATAGACTGGATTTGGGGATATTTAATGAGCTTTGCATAAGAGGCAACACAAAAATGATGCAATCTTCTTGCAATGTTGGTATGGTAACTAATATAATTAGAAGAAAGCTTTAAAAAAATTAAAATAGAACTGCTAATAAACATTTGGTCTCAATTATTAAAAACTAAATGATGCAAACAGCATTTCCTTATTGGGAAAAACGCATCAGAAGAACATTTTAACTTTTTATTGGCTAGTTCACTCTTCTGATTTGTTTCCAGTGATGGGCAATCATTAATACATTCATGTTAATTAAATTAAAAAGCTGTTTAAAAGTTGTTGTTTTACTTGGACTTGCATATAGTCCTTTGCATTTCTTGATTTCCTCAAGTACAATGGCTTCAAAAATAAACAAGACAGCAGTCAAAGATGTAAATATGAGCCAACAGTGTGCGGCAGCAGCCAAAAGAGCCAATGCAATCCTAGACTGCATTAATAGAGGGATAGAATCAAGATAACATGAAGTTCTAGTATTCCTTTACAAAGCCATAGAAAGGCTACACTTGGAATATTGCATCCAGTTCTGGCCACCACTGTTAAGCCTGGATTCCCCAACGGGTGTTAAGGAAAACAAACTAAACAGAATGTACAGCGAAGTCAGATAGGAAGACAGGTAAATGTGTGAGATAAGTTTTCTAGTTAACACGCAGTAAAAATACAGATACGCTTGTGCTATCAAAAATATAGTTTATTCTATTTAAGAATTATAGCATAGTCAAAATAAATGGTCCATTAGTCATATATCAATTTCAGTCAAGTCTTGTCGGGGATATTCTATTTGCAAAGTCCGTGTTGAATAGCCAATGTCAGTTCACTTACAATAAATCAGTCCAATCTTTATCTTCTCTCCGTTGAGAAAAATCAACACTCCTTTTTCTTTCCCCGTTCCATCAAGAATGCAGTCATCAATCCATCCAGTAATTAGGGATCAGTAAGCCAGAGAGAGAGAGAGCTGCAATTGCCTCGCTACAACCACACCCTTAATTACATTCTTGCAGTTAAAGTTACACACACTTTAACTAACAAACCATGATACCATATTTATTATTTTTTACCCAAACCAGTTAGTGTAAACAATGTTATCCCTAACATCCACAATATTAAAAAAATGTTGAGACTTTGGAAAGAGTGCAAAGAAGAACAAGAAGAATGATTAGGGGGCTGGAGGCAACAACCTACAAAGAACATTTACAGGAATTGAGTAGGTCTAGTTTAATGAAAAGAAGAACTAAGAGAGACATGATAGCAATGTTCCAATATTTGAGGGGCTCCTACAAAGATGAGGGGGAGTGAAACTATTTTCCAAAGCACCTGAAGGCAAGTTAAGAAACAATGGACAGAAATTAATCAAGAAGAAGAGCAACCTAGAACTAAGGAGAAATTTTCTACTGGTGAGCGCAATCAACCAATGGAATAGCTTGCTTTCAGAAATTGCGGGTGACCCATCACTGGAAGATTTCAAAAGAGACTGGACAGCCATTTATCTGAAATCGTATAGGGTTTCCTGCTCAGGCAGGGGGTTGGACTCCAAGGTCCTTCCAATTCTATTACACTATGTTCTGTGTCATATGATGTATCTGCTTCTCATTTTTGTTACAAACCTATTTGCTATTATGCTTAGTAATGATGTGTCTACTTATGAAAATATCATGTATATAAATCCTGTGGTCAAGTATTGTATGAAGTGGATGTTAGAATAATTAATAATATAGAAATATTAGCCATAATTATACTACATATCTGCAAGCCACAGATAAACTGCAGAAAGGAGGCAATTCAATGAATAAGATCTCCTATTCCAGCTGTGATGAATCATTTAAAATATGCGGTTGTTAGTTCGTGCTGCATTCAGTTTTCCATACAAATGGAAAATTGCACAGCCCTGAAACAAATTGGAAATTCCCAGGCATTAATGGAAGTTCTAGTGTTGAAAGGGAAAGTCTAAACTCATTTACATGCACTCACTAGCAACTACCTTGCCCAAGACTTCTTTTACCTTAAAACTCTGCCTCAACAGCTAGATTGTTCAACTAGTATCTGTCAATTCAATTATGTGTGAAATTGATTTCAGCTTCTTCACCTTTCTTTTGGACACAGACCATGAAGTCCAAAGAGTCTGGGATGTATGAATACAATAAGGAAGGCTCCATATGAGACATAATCACATGCTATTTTCTTGCAAGCTTCATCTCCCCACCTCAACTTTTCACAAGAGTGAAATAAATCCCAAATTGTCCTGCTATCTCTTGATAACATGAAAAACCTGCTAACAAGACAGCTGATTCTTCAGTATTATATCATATTTTATCTCCTCCTGTCTCTAAAAGCAAGAGAAATTCAACGTATAAACATAATGTCAAAAATTCAGCTTCAAATAGCAAACCCCATTACCAATAATCTTTGAGCCAGAGATTTTTGTCCACAGTGCTACATATTCTGTGCTGCACTGGAGAATTTGTCACCAAATCAAAACAATGTGAAAGATTATTTAAGACCTGGATAATCATTTTTTTTATGGCTAGAACTGCACTTAATGTTTTTTGGGGGGGACAAGTAGGCAGGCCAGTGAAACAAACTGGCTGAATCACATAGAGGGAAGATGCATATTTAATTTAACTTAATTTAATATGTAGCTATACTTCTTCATGCTTCCCATCTCAAAATGATAAAAAAAGATGCAACTTATTTTATAAGGTTGGGATTGGAAGGGATTCTGGGAGCTGATCTTCAATGTCCACCCAATTATTAGATCAATAAAATATGCAAAGGAGAAACAGGACAAGCACTCAACACCAAGTTAGCAGAATATTAGAAGATCCTGAAATATTGACTAAAAAATCTATGAAGTGTTGTGGCAGATCACACAAAAATGTCATATTTTTAATTCAATGTATACAAAAGGAAAATCCAAGAAGCAGTCAGAATGAAAATAGCCAACCTAGTTAGTATATAAAGACACTAAACTTGGAAGGACAAAAAATACAGAATTGCTGAGATGGCTTTTTTTAAAAAAGTGTACCCTGTTACACTTCAAAGAATGATCAATCATGTGATATCTTTAATTAAATGGCCAGTAGTTTTTCAATCTGATTACAGTAATCATTTTATTATGGAAATTTGGATTTTGTAAATTATTTACAATTATGTTGTATACAAAAAAATTGTACTGAAAATAGCAAAGCAGATTCAAGGAAGAGTAACCTAAAGTCTGTTCATTATTATTATAAATTGTGCAAATAAGCATATCATTCTAAATTATGCACATTGTGAAGAAAGTCTTTAAATAATGAAATATTGCAGCACCAAAATGTTTATAAAGGTCATCTTCCCACATAACGCTGGATTGTCTGGAGCTATCCATAGTACTGAAAGGATCTAAAAATTCCCATTTGAAAGTTTTGTTGTATTCCAAATTTACTGCTTTATAAGACACACCAAAAGCACATAATTTATTTGTATAATACATTCAATCATATACCTTTATGGATTTCAAGAGAACTTGTCCATCAACATATTTTTTCTATAGATAATGTTTTATCTGTGGCCAGCAGCAACAGCAATACACAAGATTGTGTACAGGTTTTATCAATCTGTCACATTTCAGTCTGGTCTGAAGTGCTCCAGTGCCATAACTGACTGGTAATCTAATCTACTGTTCAGTTCTAACAGAGAAAAGCTATGCTTTGTAGTTTGACATATAACTATGTGACATCTGAAGCCATGGAAAACACAAAGAATGATTATTCCATACGAATAGACATGCCTATTTCACATCATGAAGTTTAAATTAAATCTGTCTACTTTCTGATTATCCTACAAAACTAGTAAGAATATTCCCTTTCCCTTAATTTTACAAATTTTTAATCCAAAACATTTTCCTATAGCATTCAGTACTCAAGATAAATACAGGGAATATTCCTCTTTTTTCGTGTCATTTTGAGAATGCTGACATGATTTATCTCAATTTTTGACTCATACTCATAATTTTTTCAATACCTGAATAGGTCTTATAAAACAAACAGTAATTACGTTAAGATGTGTACCATTGTTGGCTCAATTTGGTCTTTTAAGTGGAATATTGGGATGGTTTTATATCAAAAAATAAAGTGGAGCCATCTGGGATAAGGACAAACCCCAAATCTGGTTTCACTTACATTTCAAATTACTTACTATTGCATTAACTGAACTAAAAAATAATCTCAGAAGTGGAAATCAATGTTATATAGTTGTCAAGAAAGTTACATAGGCATATCCATGTAGTCTTCTTGAATTCAAGTTGACAGAGACCTATCTTCAATGTAATTCAATAATTTTGTTGGTATGTCATATTAAAAATGACAACTAAGAATGATAAATTCTATAGGAAATCTGGAGGTCACACTCATGGCTTTTGGAGGCTACATGCAACAGAGTGCCTTCAGGTCAATGATTCTGATATTATTAACATTTATACCTACTACAAAACATTTATAATATTTCCTTTTATAGTTTTCTTCACTCAGTTCTCACCCTGCTCAAGAATATATTTCTCAGTATAAAATGGAATCTGTACTATCCGAAATACATATTACACAAGTGTTTCATACTTAATTTGTAAACTTACATCTTTGCCACATATACACATGCCTTACAATGACCATGATTACACTGCTTTAAGCAATATCTCCACTTCATTCCTCCTACCAAAAATCAATAAAGAATGAGGACAAAGTGCTAGGATTCCAAAAGAATAATTTTTCTACCATCTGTTACTTATCAGCCAGCAAAACAAAACAATTGCACACTCGCAGTAACTTAACATTTCTATAGTACAGTATTGCAGGTTCATTATGGTTTCCTAAGCCATAGAATTCAACTATAGTTTCTCTTTTATTGTTCCAACATTGAGAATCCAATCTCCAAACACAAGCAAGTTCTGCTGATTTCAAATTGAACTTGATTATAAAAACCTCGTCTCCTACTGCATCAGTGGTTGAAGTATAAACTTGAATAACTGTCATATTAATGAGATGTCCATGAAGCCTAATTGCTAAAGCATTTGATGAATGGTTACAGGAAACAGAATATGTGTCTAGTCTAATGAAGAGAAGGACTAAGGTGACATGATAGCAGTCTTCCAATATTTGAGACGCTGTCACAGAGAAGAGGGGACCAACCTATTCTCTCCAAAGCACCTGGAGGGCAGGACAAGAAGTAACAGATGGAAACTTATTAAGGAGATATCCAACCTATAGCTAGCAAGAAATGTCCTGACAATTAGAGAACAATTAACCAGTGGAACGGCTTATGTCCAAAAGTTCTGGGTG